AGGATGATGAAACCTGTCAGTAGTTAGATATCTGCAGTAGGTGAACATCTGGAGGCAACAAGAACAACATCAGACCTCCAGGTTTCCTCAAATACTGTAAAAGAAAAAAAAATCCAACAGTATAATCCTGCACAGTTTTTTAAAATCTAAATGACATAATTCTACTTTTTTAATCACTAAAAACGACCTGTTTGCCAGATTCTGTAAAAAAACAGAGAAACAGCTGAAGACTGAGATGAAACCTTCAGAGAGCTTCTGGTTGAACTGCAGCAGCTCATCCACAGAGTTTGTAGAAATCTGCATAATTAAATATCTACAGCTCGTTTTTCTGACAGTTTCGGTTTAATTGTTGGATTTAAGAGCCTGATGAGCTTCCACGATGAGTTCTTTCTGTTTTTGGGGTAAAACACACAAACAAAAGCTTCTGTTGTGACGTTTGAGGGCTGAAGGGAAGCGACTGGTGACATGAAACAGAAAACAGTCATTTCATGGAGGATTTTCACATTAAAGCGTTTTCTGGCTGCAGGTCTCTAAAGCGACCGACGTGTTTCTGCCTGAAGCTGAACCTGAAGCTGTTGGTACCGGAGGTCCTCTGCTGGGTCATTTATCTGCTGTAATATTGTCAATAAAGCTTTTAGGCTTCATAAAAAGCTCCTTTGTGTCCATAACAAAACAGAAAACCTATAAATACCGCCGCCGGGCTCATGCTGCATGCTGCTCCGGAGCCGTCTTTAAAAGCTGCAGCCAACAAACCACAGAGGAGTTAACTTCCAGGTTGCCTATAAAATATTTAGCTGCTCGACCACTTTATTCGGCTCACGTTGTTTTTCCAGGGACGAGGAAGCGTCCAGGAAGCTGCTGAGGTCTGACCCCGGCGGCGTGTCGGCGGTGAAACCCGTCAGAAACACCGGAGAGTCTCACCGGAGCACCGTGAGCGATCTCAGGGAAACCAGTGTAAATCCATCAGATGTAGTCACTGGTTTGTGGTTCTGATAAAAGGCCGTAAATGGATCCAGACGGATCTAAAGGTCTGCCTGCAGCTCTGTTTGGAGGAACTAACGACGAGTCTGACACGTTTAAAGTAATTATTTAATTCATCTGTGTGCTGAAAACTAAAACCTGTGCTTTAGCGTGAAATCTGCACAAAGAGGCGACCAAACATCAGAAACGCGTGACGTCGTCTTTACGTCGTTTCTGCTGCTTGAGTGAAGTTTTGTGCTGATTTCCGACCAGACGAGGACCTGCAGGGGGCGCTACGCCACGTACACGTTTTTATAAAACAAATATTTTTGAAGATGAAACAGATTCTGGTGGAACTGAACACATTTTGTACCGAAATCCTCCGACGCAGCTTTCGTTTGTCAGAATCCAAAGTTCTGTGAAGAAGAAGACGAGTCGCCATCGAAACTCTGCTCTCACTCGAAACGTCGCTTTTGTGACTCAGCGACGTTTTCTGCAGGTTTGCATCTGCCCACGGATATGAAGAAAACAAACTATAAAAACAGCGTCAAAGTCGGAAATAAGGAAAGTTCTACATGTGAGTCAGGTTGACGTCTGAGAGCTGGTTGATGATCTCTGCACATTAAAACCTTCACAAAAGGTTTTGCACAACCCTCGACCATCATCTCTGTCACATTAAACGTGCAATGTTTTGCAATGTTGGGAATAAATGTTTTTAACTTTGGGGTGGTGGTGAAATAAGACGGCGAGCTGCAGCCCAGCGGAGCACCAGGACGGTTTACGGGCGCTAACAGTCTGTCAGCGATGAACTCAGTGAGCTTTGTTTAAAAAGACATCGACACGTTTCTGGATAAAAACCACTAATCAGAGCCTGGTCCTAACTGTGTCCACAGGATCCGTCGTTTCCTGTGAAGCGGTGGTGAAATGCATCCTGGGAGCAGCGTGTTCCGGCTCCTCATCCGCATACATGTGACTTCTGAGCTACTTTATGCAAATCAGCTTCTGGAAAACTTCTAAACCAACTAATCCAGGACGAAGGCGGCTTCAGTTCTGACCTCAGAGGTTTCATTCGTTTGGTGAAATCCAGGACCTGACAGGTGACGCCGTTCATCCAATCATGTGCGGCCGCTTCGTCGTGGGATCGTTCAACTCGCCGGATGCTCGCTGCGGGTTTCGGCGCGTTACAGTTTTCTTCTCGACGGGAAACAACAACAACGAGGAGCTCCGAGCTGCAACCGAAGCAAACTGAAAACGAAACCGAAGGAGTGTCTTCCTGTGGATTTTTCGTTCTGATCGGTTCTCGTCTCCTCGCGTGCAAATTTCGCACCACAAAAATTTCACCCGTCACTTTATGAGGGAGAACTTAGCTCCGCCCACGACCGCTGTGATTGGTCTAGAGAAAAACAAGCCAGCTTGTCTTTCTGGTTGGAGACATTTATGGTGACGAACGTCCGGCGAGCAGAGACACACCTGTGGACGCTGAGCAGCAGGTGGTTCAGTGAGAAGGTCGGTACGATGGGACGACGCTCCTCAACAGTCCGTTAACCATTTAGTCATCGTTTATACAAACACCTTCTAACTGTGGAGAAAACCACAGAACTGCAAAGTTATTGTTTTAGGTCAGGGGGTCCAGTCCTGGTCCCGGAGGGCCACAGTCCTGCATGTTTTAGATGTTTCACCTGATTCAAATGATCAGCTCATCATCAAGCTCTGCAGAAGCCTGATAACCATCCTGATCATCTGGATCAGGTGTGTTGGAAACATCTACAACATGCAGGACTGTGGCCCTCCAGGACCAGGATTGGACCCCCCTGTTTTAGGTTCTGGAGGAAATGATCATAAATGATCCCTTCCTGCCGTTTTAGTGTCACGTTCAGTTTGAGACAACTGAGAATGCATTCAGATGAATGTAAATATATCTGCACCCTCAATACTCCTGTAAATAACACCACAGTGTCCAGCCATCATCTGCACACCGCTTCATCCTCACCAGGACTTCAGGTCGATGGTTCTTATTTAAATTCAACTCTAATTCCTCTCAACAGGTTTTTGCTTCTGCTTTGCACAGTTTCAGTGAGTTTTATCTTCAGCTATTTTTATTTTTGAGCTATTTCTATATTGTTATCTTGTACATTGGACCGTACTCTGTGTTTATCGTTGCACCGACCCACCAGAACCAATTCCTTGTATCGTGTAAACTACACCTGGCAATAAATCTGGTTCTGATTCTGATAAATCTGGACATCTATACGAGCAGAAGAACAAGATTTAATCAGCGGGACTTTTTCTGCTGTTCTATTGTTTTTACAGAAGCTTCCTTTTAGCGTCCTGATGCTGCTGCTGCAGTCATTTCACTGCACACTCGTGGTTTCTGTCGTTCTAACTGTGTCATCAGCAGCAAATAAAAGAGCCAGAAACAGCTTCAGATTATTACTGAAGTCAGTGACGCCAGCGTCTGGAGTCCTCCTCTGGCTGAAGGTCAACAGTAACTACAGTTTAGCAACAAGCTCACGTGTAGATTTCACAGTTTGGAAGCTGTTTTTGGGTTAAAACACACAAATAAAAGTCGGCGCTGTGACTGTTCAGGGCTGAAAGTGAAGTCCTGGTGACACAAAACAGAAACCTTCACGTCAGATTTTCACATTCATGCATTTGGTTTTTGCTGCAGGTTGTTAAATTAGCAAACAGCACAAACTGCATGAACGGGGGACAAACACAAACTCCTGGATCTGGAAGACAAAAACTTCCATCAAATACACTCCAAGGACAGCAGAGCCTCCAGCGAGGACGTCGAGTCGATCTGCTGCCCGAGTGTGAAGCAAAAGTTCCCCCAAGAAAACGAAAAACGTGGTAAAATCCCAACGACGACGTGTCTGCAGGAGTTCACGGTCGCTCGGTGTCACTGGTTTTATTGGTTAAAGTGGATGTTTTACAGACCAAATAACTAATAAAGTCTTTAACCAAACATCATTATGAACCGTGGCCTGGTTCCTGTACTAAACTCATTAATCATCACAGTTTACTGGAGGTTTTACGTGTAGATGATTAAACCTGGTTTCATTCTCAGGATTTCTCTCTAGTATTTGATTTTCACCATTTTCTGACTGTACGCTGCTTCTGAAGGTAATTACTTCGTTCAAGATCACGTCTGCTGGAGCTCAAAGTCGAAAATCCACCAACAAATATTTAACAAACTTCACAAAATGTCTGAATTCTGTGACTTCAGCTTCTTCACTGTGGATAGTTTCTGGCTTCTCTCCTCCTCCATGATGGTAAACTGAAGATCTTTAAACTGAACAAGACGTTTGAGGAACATCTACCAAACAGCTGATCAGTTTATCCAGAAAACAACCCTGAGCTTCAGCTGCAGCTTTAACCAACATCATGACGAGCTGTGGGCTGGTTTCTGCATGAAGACCTTCACCCAACATCACGTCTGCTGGAGCTCAAAGTTCTTGAACTCAGGAGTTTGTGTTTACAGCTTCAAAACGTCACATTTAAGGACCTAAAACCAACGAATGTTTGGTATTTTTTTAAATGTATAGGTGGTTAAACAGAACAGCTCTGATCTCAAATTCACTTTTGAGAGTTCATCACCTTTTCTTCACCATTTTCCAGCTTCATGAACCCAAACAACAGATCGATTCGTCCATTAAACAAGGTTCAGCTCATCTTCAGCCAGGACCAGACATCTTTATGAGCTGTGGGCTGGTGTTTGCATGAATCTGTTCATTAATCATCTCAACTGCAGTTTAAAGCTCCTGAACCCTAAAAGGCTCCGTTTACGAGCTGCAAAACCTCAAACGTCAGAGTCCAAAACCAACAAACGTATCGACGGTGAAACGGTTCTGACCTCAAACGTTAGTCACCGCCGTCTGCTGCAGCTTAAAGCTCCTGAACCCTAAAAGGCTCCGTGTAGGAGCTGGAGCTGCTGCGCATGAACGGAACAAAACAAGAAGACTGAAGACGTAGGAGCACGTCCACGACCTGGTGTCACCGGTCTCACTGATCACAGCAGAACAACGGCGGCAGGTTCTTACCTCCAGTCCATAAAACCAGGAGAAGATGGCGGCCTGCTGGCGGTTCCCTCCTCCCTCTTTGTCCTTCTGAGCTCAGAGGTCAGCAGAGGTCAGAAACCTGCAGGAGAAACAGGCGAGTTCAGATAAAATCACACCGATCCAACCCCAGTTTCACCTTCAGAGGGGAGCCGGCGTGAAGCCGAGGCGCTGACTAACGGAGAGGCAGCCGTTGTGTAGACGTGTGGTGCAGAATCACACACCCACCAGCCATCATATGATGCATCAGATGTGATGTGCGGAGGAGTCGGGGGGGTTCTTGTAAAAGAAACTGACTGCTTCCTACTTCTGCAGAAAACCAGTCGTCCGACTGTAAGTGACACATGTGTGAGATGATCAACAACACGACGGCTCTCTAAGAAACACGCCCGTCTGCAGGTTCACACGTTCATCACTCACTCATTAGCCAGCAAATGAATCACTGAAATGACTGCAGGTACAGATTGTAGATCATGTAAACGGCTGTCTGTCAGAAAACAGTGAAGATGTTCAGCTTACTGTCACAGAGGAGGAAAGAAACCAGAAAACATTCACAGTTAAGAAGATTTAAACAGAGTTTAGACTGTTTTCATCTTTAAAATGACTCAAACTGATCCTTCAAACACCTGCTGGTCTCTAAAAGGCCAGAAAATAAAGAGAAGGTGGATCAGAGGTTCCTCACACGTCCGGTTCAGTCCAGAGATGTTCAGTTTAGTGTCACAGAGGAAAGAACCCAGAAAACATTCAGTGAAGAAGCTGAAACCACAGAGTTTGAACTTCACTGAATTAAACGGTGATTAATTAATAGTTAACAACTAATTGGTGAATCGTTGCAGCTCTAATCGCCGAACGCTCCAACTGGTTTGAGTGACTTTTAATTTAAAAGTCTTCTTTCATGTCAATGTTCTCCGGCTTCTTTCCTCTGTGACACTGAAGTGAACATCTCTGGACGTTCGAGGAAACTCTGATCCACACGTTTCTCCACTTCCTGACATCTCAGCGACCACACCGCTGATCCAATCTTCCACAAAAGGATCTTTCGCTGCAGTTCTGACTGCGACCAAACACCACCGTGAGTTTTTCATTAATCACTTCCTCCAGTCCGACGTCTGATGGTTCTCAAACCCAAAAGTCTCAGTTTTAAAACTGCAGAACCTCAAATTTAAGAGGCCCAAACCAACAAATGTTTGACATTTTTAATTCATAGACGACTGAACGGTTCTGATCTCAGGTGTTTGTTTTTCCAGCGACTGCTCTCCCAGAACTCACTGTTCGCTGCTGATCCATTTATTTTTCTGCCTTTTCTAATAAACCAAACGAGATGATTAATCTGGAAAACGATCAGCTGCAGCGGGAGCAGCTGGTTTCTGTCGCCTTTTTGTTCTCGGCGTTCCACCTCCGCCGCGTGACTGATGTTCTGTCGTGCCGGGTCGGTTCCCCACATGTGGAACGACCGTCAGCGTTGTGAAATAAATTCTTAATGCAGCTCCGTCTTTGTCTGCAGCATAATTAGACATCTGTGCCTCATCCTCCCTCCTGCTGTCCTGACACGACCTCCGGATCCGCTCTGCTCTCAGAACCAGGGAACTCTGGAGGTATTTAAGGAACCCTGACAGAACCTTGAACGGGTTGGGCAGGACGGAGGTCACCAGAGGAACCTCTGATGACTTAAAATAGGTTCCTGGAGGGTTATTTCGTGGTTCTGTGTTGAACTTAAAGCCTGTGTTTACACTTTGTTTTACTTTTTAAACTGAGTTCTACTGAAGTTCTGGACGTTCTGACACCTCAGCGTGTTTATGAGATAACATCTGAAGAACCTCCCTGGGGGTCTCCTGCTTCCTGTTCTGGTTTAGTTCTTTACTTGCACCTTATTTTTGGTGCTTCGCTGTTTGTTATTTCCTGGTGACTGAACACAGAGCAAAGCTTCACCAGAGTCCAGCTCTTGTCTGTGAACAAACCTGACTGATAAAGTTTTGAACGGTTCCTCCACGGTGGGGAACCCCAGAAGGTTCCTGGAGGTTCTTCTGCTCCTCAGAGTGCAGCTGGTTAAATATGTCTAAAAGTGTTGAAATGTCCAGAATATGTTTAAGCCAGAAAACACCAGGAGAACATTTAGATGTTCCGAAATAAAAAGGTTGTTTGAATGTTGTTTTTCTAACCAGTGAATCAGAAGCTCTCACGTTAAACATCTCCTCCGTCGTCACAGAGCTCCACTTCACCACCCAGTGAAAATAAAACCAGGTTCAACCTACAGACATCACCACAAAACCCAGGAACCGGTTTCAAGCTACTGAACCGTTAAAGGTTTTTCCCCACAAGCAGCGAGGTTCCTTTAATGTTCCTTTAATGTGCTATATCAGAACCACGCAGAACCAGGAGACCTTGTTCAGGAAACCTAGCGAGCTCCAGAACCTCATTACAAGGTTTCTGGTTCCGGTTTAAGTGATTCAACACTTTGTTCTTCTCATTCTTCAGCTCAGTTTGATCACAGGCGTCTCTGGTTGGACAAAACAAGGTTCTCAGGGTTCTAACGTGTAAACGAGTCAAATGAAGAACCTACCGAGGAACCAGCAGGTTCTAGTTCATGGCTTTAACTGTTCTGAACAACATCAGAGATGTTACAAAGAAAACCAGGTTCTAGAGGCTGGTCTGTGTGGTCTGTTCTAATCAGGGTTCTGTCTCTGGGTTCCTCATCAGCTACATGTGGAACCCCACAAGGTTCCTCAAAACTCCTGAGGTTCTCCAGGTTCTGAGGTGATCTCACATGATCTGAGAAGCAGAAAAGCTTCAAGGAACCCTTTGAGTTCACGAAGAGAGAAGTTCTGTACAGAACATCTGAGGTTCCACGTTGAAGGTAATGAGTTCTTCCTGGAGAACATTTTAAGATCAAACATAAAAAACATTCAGATGATCCTGAATCAACAGGAGACTCTTCTTTAGACAAAAAGGAACCTCATCTCCTCAGAACTCTGTCAGCATAACGTCAGAACTATTCAAATATAGTGTTTAAATACTCAGAACCAGCCACTAGAACCTGCCTTAGAACCTGCCTTCATGTCTTTAATATTGTTCAGAAGAGCTTCTTGATTTAAAACCTAAAAGGTTTAAAAAATAAGATGAATAGAAGTTCTAGAGATCCACTCAGAGGAATCCTCAGGACCCTGTTGGGTCATTAGAGGCAGAACAGAACCGGGCCTTGTCCCTGGTGGTTCTGAGGTTCTACCTGAGCAGCAGCAGCAGCTCTCCTCGCAGGTGAAGCAGGAAACAAAAAGCGGCTCCAACCGCCGCCACATTTAACCAAACAAGCCGCTGAGAACCAAACCCAGTCCAGTCGAACCGGTTCGTCCAGTCCGTCAGCGGCTCAGGCCGGCCTCCTCCCCTCCTCCTCCCCCCGGGACGCACCGGGACCGTAACCTGACGTTACCTGCAGCGGGTTGAACACAGTGGAGGCTGCTGCTGATGAAGATGATGATGATGAAGATGAAGATGATGATGATGAGTAACAGACCACTGGACGTTCACGAGACTTCACCTCCGCGCGTCCGCCGAGCCGCGTGCCCGCGCACAGCCAGGTGATGTGCGTGAGAGCAGGTTCGGTTTTGGATGTCAGCCGGTTGTTCTCGGCTATAATTAGCAGCGGAGGCTCCAGAAGCGCACCCGCTCACCCCGCCGCCTCCCGCCGGCGGCTCACCTGTCCGCCGCCGCCGCCGGCACCGGAACCGGCACCGGCACCGGCACGGAAATAAACTGCGTAAAAGCAGCCGGTGCGCCGAGAAGCCGCCGAATAAACGGGAGTTACCGAATACCTGTGACGTGGAGAGTCCTCCCGTGACCCCGATCAGCGCGGGGGGAGGAGGGGCAGGAGGAGGGGGAGGACGCCGGTACCGGGATGACAAACAAACACGACACAGCCGGAACCCGCGGCTCGGCTCGGCCCCGGCCCGGTGCCGGCAGGTGGAGCGGTTACCTGAGAGTCACCTGTCCGGACCGTCGCCTCCCACCTGACCGGCCGCGACACTTCCTGGATCAGTCCGTCCTCCGCCGACTCCCTCCCGGCGCGCTCGGCTCCTCCTGGGGGGGCTCCGGCTCCGTGGCTGGCTCCTCCGGTGTCGTCCCGGCGTCGTCCCGGTGCTGCTCGGCGCTGCGCTGCTCGGCTCTGACCCCCCCGGTGCTGCTGCGGCTCCGTCGCCCACTCCGACTCCCGGCTCCTCCTTTCTGAGAACCAGGAAGCGGCTTGCCCTACTTACGCCCAGCCGCGGATTGGCTCCCGCAGGCTGGAGAGGAGACCGCCGGGGCGGGCAGGGCGCGGGGCGGGGGACGGGACGGAGGGGGTCCGGCCCGGCGCGATAGGCCGCCGGCGGTGTCTGTCGGCGGGGAGGGCCGGTCCGGAGCCCCCGCCGCTCCTCCTCCTCCTCCTCCTGCAGCGGCTCCGGGCACCGGGGTGGGCAGGAGGGCAGGTAGGCTGCGGCCCCCCCTCCCCCCTCCCTCCCTCCTGCCCCGCTGACTCAGCAGGATCGGGCTGCAGGTGGATGCAGGTGAGCGTCCTGCGCGGAGCCGCGTCGGGCTCAGCGGCAGACTGATGGAAGCGGCGCAGGATGTGTGACATCCACCGAGAGGCAGCAGCTACTCAGATGACTCACAGACAAGTGAAGAACTCTCAGAACAAGAAGCAGCAGAACTTCAGGAACCCGCGGGTGGTTCTGCTTCTGGTGGTTCTGCTGCTGGTGTCCAGTGAGACGAACCAGCGGGTCACTGAGGAGCTGATGTAAAGAGCAGAACACGCTGATAAACTCTGTGGTTGATGTGACAGAAACCGGGACTGAGATTTGAGTCATGGGTTCGGTCAGCAGGCAGAAAAACAGCAGAACACAAAATAAACCTGGAAGTTCGAGCAGATGTTGTTCTGATCAGCTGATCGGAACATACAGTCACACAAATGCTGTCACACCTATTTATTACTTTTATGACAGGCTTGTGCATTTGATTGTATTTTATGACTCATATT